AATTTGAAAACATGTCCCATGTGCCACCTCATGAACAATCCCTGGGGTCATCTTCCCAAAGCTTTTGCATGAACCTTTGATTTTTCTCACCTGGCTCTTGATGCTGATGAGTAGTTCACAGTTTTTCCCTGTTTCCAGGTCCTTCTCCAAGGTATGTGTTTCTGGCTTTATTGCTCTTGTGTTTTCCAGTATTAGCTTGAGAATCAGTGCATACCGGACAATACTGTCATTTGTTTGTTCTACTGCAAACTCTGGTGTTGCTTGTCCTTTGTGATTAATTTCCCTCTCTTTTGAGTCTTTGAGTGCTGTCAGTCATGCATATTCCTGCAGTTGTACATTGGCAAAGTTGAGCAGGTTCCCAGCAGATGTTCAGAGCTGTCAAATCAGGCAGGAAAACTTTCTCTAATTCTCTTTGTTGTGACATGGTGTTTTTATGGATTCCTTTCCCAGTAGCATCCTCATCAAATGTAACGACTCTAAGGCATTCAGTCCTAGTAGTCGGTCTGTTGGTGCTGTTATTACACTCTGGCTTGTTGTTTTTTTTTTTTTTTTTTTTTTTTTTTTTTTGTGGTTACATATAACATGTCATTATTTCATGCTGAGGATCCCTGCCATGTCCTTGCTTATCTCACTAGTCCGTTGTCCACCCAAGAGCAAGCCTTAGAGATTTAATTTTAACTGCAGTGGTCCTAGCTTTCATTACGACACAGTAGTATTATGTTTCACTTGGTGATCCCTGCTCCCAAAGCCAGTTGAACAGGGGGCAATCTTGTTTATTTGCTTGAAAAAAGTAAATTCCTAGCCTTGATGGTTTGCCTCATAGCCTCTCAAAAACTTGGAAACCAGCAGGCAAAAGAACCTCCATTTCACTCTCAAAAATAAACACGATTACTTTGATGTCTTCACTTGGCATACAGGTTTCTGTATCGCTTACGTTTGGGGTTGGCAGCTTCTTCCTTAAGCCAAGAGATGATGTAAATCTCCTGGCACTGTTCTGGGAGGGATCTCAGTTCATGGCCACCCGTGTTGGTCCTGCCGGGGGGCAGGTAAGTGGGGATGGCGGCTGGAGACCTGGTGGAGGGCTCTGCAGGGGTGACACCGAGTGAAGCTGTCCCAGCTGGCTGAGATGTTGAGCTGCTCCTTCTGCCCCAGGGACCAGGCTGTGTCTGGATTCTACTTTGGTGCCTAAATCTAGCTACGAGGATTTTAGTTTCAGATGTGTGAGTTTGGACATGGGAACATGGATTTTTAAAAGTAGAAAAATGTGCTGCATCTAACATATGTACTTGACAGACGTTAACTTACCTGCTCAGCATCCCTTGTCTCTCTAAAGTGTCAAGGCCAGTCCGATGGGTGCTGTACACAGAGAAAAAAGATTTTGGGGTGAGATGAATTCCCTGTGGAATTGTTCACCAGAATCTATGGGAATATCCGGAGGGCAGATTTAATCATGACAAAACACTTGTCTGTGTGGGAAAATTTGCTAATCTGAATTACTCCACTGTTACTCTGCCAGTGCTTCCCCTCCCTCAGATGCTCCCCTGAAATCATAATTCCACAACAAAGCTACATGGATGTCATCAGGGTGGTACTTCCTCGTGCAGATGATCCCTGTACATGAACACTAGAATGCAGCCCTGTACCTAGGTTAGATGGGTGTTGCACACTATGAAGTTTAGTTCCCTTCTTCTGTCAGAGGGAGATAAAGTCTCATACTGCTTCATTTTCTATGATTTTGTAGCAGTGTTTGGCTTCCTGGGAAGTCAAGCTACGAATAAGCAGCGTGGGCAAATACAGCTACGGAGACCTACGGAGGGCACGGCATGGTGGGCCAAGTCTCTGGGAAGCATTTGGCTGCTTTTCAGTGAAATAAATCATCAAATGAATGAGGTTGTCTGCTCCAGCTGGAAGGGGGTGCTGTCTTCAGCTCCTTCTTCTGCTCACTGTTGCCCTCAATAGCTTCCACCTGGTGTGCAAGTGTGCGTGGCACTTCCACGTTGTGCAAACTGATAATTCAGTCAGGGTTCATCTCCTGCCAGGGAGTGCCAGGGCAAGTGCAGCTCTAGGAAACCCCTTGAGCAGGGGTGCTGACCTGGGCCCACGTAGGTGCTGGAGCAGGTCAGGCTCCAGGATGACCCTGTTCAGGGTGCAGCGTAATGGTTTGATTCTTTAAGGGCCTCATCCTGCCTCGTGCTGGATGCTGAGCAGAGGGTGGTTGGGAAACGGCGGGAGCAGGCATGACATGGTGGAGCTCTTGCAGGCGGTAGGGCTGGGAGAGAAGATGACTCACCTGCTCCAGCTTTGTTCCTGTGGCGGTGTAAGACTTAAAATGAAGTGAGGGTGGGGGAAGGCAGGGCAAAGGAGGGGCACCTGCAGGTAGATATTCCTAGGGGAGCAGCTGAGTCAGCTGGGCATCAGCCTTGTCTCTTTGCTTAGTGAATTTACAGGGCGAGGGAAGCAGTCGTGCAGTTATCGGCCGGCAGACCCGTGGGGGAGCGTGGGGCAGGGCAGGGTGAGCCGTGCTGGCTGCTGCCAGCCCGCGGCTCTGGAGTGGAGCAGGCGTCCCCTGGCCAGCCTGGCGCTCACCCCGGCTGCAGCTCGCTGGGTTTGTGCTGGGGCACAAGGGCAGCCCCTTAAATTCACAGCAAAACCGAGCCAAGTCACGGCTGTGCTCATCTCTAATGCCTGGTGCCATGTCCTTCCCCTGCTCCAAACACGATCAGGGTGGGTTGATTAATGACTTGGGCTTCATAGGAGGAAAGGGATTTCCCCTGCCCAGCCCTCTCTGTTCCTCCTTGTTCCTGTATTTCCAGCTTTGCAGGTTTTCTGCAAACAGCCTTGCTGTCCTTGCCCAGGCCTTTGGCTCAACCCAGCTGGGGGAGAAGTCAGGTCCTGCTCACCCCCAGTGGGGGTGGGAAGGGACAGGGGCTGAGGTTTGCATCTCTCCCAAAAGAAAGGATGAACCAAACCTGCTGAGTTCTGTTTTGGGGGGATTCATGCCAGGGTCAGAATAAGACGAGTCTCTGACTCTGCAGGACTTTCAGTGCAAGAGTAGAGGGGTGTCTGGTGAAGTCTGGGCTTTGAGTCCCTGGATTGTTCTGGCCCTGGCTTGAGAGCTGCTGTGCTGGCACCCAGCCCGAGCCTCTGACACTGTGTCACCCCAGGGGAGCAGATGGGTCTGCAGGAATGATGTGCGAGGAAAAGGCGGTTGCAATTGTGTTTCTGATAGCTGTGACTTCTTTGGGTAGTTCAGGTGGGAGCCACCAAGTCGGTGCTCACCGCATGGCTTCTCTTGCAGGCTCACAGGAGATTCACATCGATGAGAAAACTGTCAGCCCCCACCTCAGCCTACTGGAAGACAAGAAAACCCTGACCTTCAACCCCAAGAAAGCAAAGGTGGACTTGGACTGCCCCGAGCGGTTTGACCACTGGCCCAATGCTTTGGCTACTGTGGCTTTCCACTCGGGGGTCTGTGCGTGGAAGATCAGCGTGGAGAAGAGCTGTGCTTACAAGCTGGGGGTTTGCTACAGCTCCCTGCCACGGAAGGGGTCTGGCAACGAAGCCCGCCTGGGCTTCAACACTGCCTCCTGGGTCTTCTCACGCTACGACAAGGAGTTCAGGTTCCTGCACGCCGGGCAGCCGCAGGCGGTGGAGCTGATCAAGTCTCCGGCCGAGATCGGGGTGCTGGTTGACTTTGCAGGAGGTGAGGTGCTCTTTTATGACCCCGATTCCTGCACCATCCTCTTCTCCCACAGGGAGACCTTCGCAGAGCCCCTCTATCCCGTCTTTGCCGTGGCGCACCAGAGCATCTCCCTTGTCCAGTGAGCGAGGCGTTGCGCTCACTGGGGGGGTGAACGTATAACTGTATATACAGTGAATGTATATACACTATACAGTACCTTTACTGGGGAAAGGAGCCCAGGCAGAGCTACTGGCTTGTGTACACTGGTGTTCAGCCAAGACCTGCCTTCCGACCACATCTGTTCTACACATGTTTTACGGCAGCTTTCCTCTCTTCCTGGAGGCTACACCTACCCTGTGTCTGCCGTGCCGCAGCGAGGGGTCAGGGTAATGCCTGGCTCTGCCAGCTGCTTTTAGGTGAATTATATAGTTCCTCTCTGACCAAGGGCAGCTTTCCAGTCTCATGGTGGGCTTTAGAAAACAGGAGAAATACTAAGAGATGTGGTTGGAGAAACAGCAGGGAGGAGGCATGTAGAAAGGGACATCATTGGGACACAGCTGGAGACACTTCTGGGAGGAGCTGCCCTATGACAGTGCAGGGGGCTGTCACCTGTGGGGGACCCATGTTGGGACAGGGGCATCCCTGAGGGGCTGTTGCCCATGGAGGAGCCCATGTCAGAGCAGAGGAGTAAGAAGCAAGGAGCAGCAGAAGGAAACCTAACCTGAGCTGCTCCTCACCTCACCAAAGGGAGTGGGGGGTTGAGTGTAACGTGGCAAAAACATGGGGAACTGATGTTAGGCAGTGAGGAAGGAGAGGTGTTGGATTGACGGTGAGCCAGGGAGGAGGGCACGAGAAGTGTTTCCCTGTTTAAAATTTGTCATCTTTATTTCTCAATACCCAAATCAGTAAAGTTTGTTAATTAGCAATATATTAAATTAAGTGAAGTTGCTCAACTCCCGACTGTGTTGCCCACAGCAGGAGGCCTGCAGCTGCCTCTTGGCCACTGCTGTCAGGAAGGGGGGGGATGCTGGTTAAGTGGCAAACCTGGGGTACACCGAGGCACGCAGGGCCTGTGGGTGGGTTTCCTGGGTGCAGACCTTCCCTGGGCCAGGACCAACCCCAGCTGTGCTTGCACAGGGGGGATGCTCGAGCCCCTCCCCAGGGTGAAGGGATAAACCTCAGTGTCTGCCTCCATCCCTCGTGCCAGGATGAGCCTTCTGGAGTGCAGCTTGACCCTATCTCCAGCTCCACAAGAAGACCCCACCCCTAACCCTCTTCCGTAGTTTTTTAGAGCTATGAAAGACATCAGCAGCACTGCTGAGCATCAGATATGTTTTATTTCATTAACACCCCTCCTGCTCCACAGGCAGCACTGCTCCCTGTGCTCAGAAGCACTCGCTTCTTTTCCCTCCCCAGCCAGCAGCAAGAAATCCCACGCCAGGACTGGTTTCACTGCTCAGAATCAGTGCTGCTCCTCCTCCGAAACGCAGCTATCCCTTCTCAATCAGAGCCAGGAGGTGGCTGAGGGTGGGCAGGAGGTGTTCAGGGGGCACCTCGGGCTCCTTGTCCTGTCCGGCCGCCCGGAGCAGAAAGCTGTGCATCCCCACGGCTCGGGCTGCCCGGTAATCCCGGGTATAGTCGTCTCCCACGTGAGCTGCCTGCTCTGGGGGGACCCCGCTGAGGCGCAGGGCCTGCTCAAAAATCCTCCCGTCCGGCTTGGCGAAGCCCGCATCTTCCGAGGTGAGGACAAATTCGAAGTGGTGCCGCAGGTTGCATTGGGAGAGGACGTTTTCCAGCCGGTTATCGAAGTTGGAGACGACAGCCATGCGGAAGCCGCGCTGGCAGCACTGGCTCAGGGTCTCGCTGGCTCCCGGCAGCACCTCCCAGTTACCGGCGCTGCAGAAGTCACGGTAGAGGTTTTCCGCCATCAGTGTTAGGATTCCGTCTTCGCGCACTCCCGAGAGCCTGAAGGTCTGCTTCACAACGTCAACCCACCACTGCCGGGAGCTGAGCCCCTGGCCCCGGCCGTAGTTGGGGAAGTGCCGGCTCTGGGCATCGTACGCCTCTCCGAACGACCGACCGAGCGCCTCCGGCTGCACCCACACCCCGTGGGCCCGGGCCTCGGCTGCGTAGCGCTCGCCCACCGGCTGCCGCAGCCGCAGCAGCGTGTCCTTCACGTCCCACGTGAGGAAGCGGAGCCTAAGCATGGCTGCGGTGAGGCTCGGGGCTGAGGGAACCTAAACCGGGGAGGTGAAAGCCAGGTGCTCTGCTGGGAGCGAGTCAGTAGAGTGTGGCTCCCGCCAGTTGTATCCGAGGGGTGTGGGCACCAGCACTATGTCCACATCACACCCACTGGTGTCAGTGTTCCTCGGGGGGGGGGGGGGGTCTGCGCTGATACGGCAGGGGAGGGAATGCCTTGCTCCGAGCCCCAGGGTGCAGAGTCTCCCAGGCCGGGGCAGCTGCACCCCGCCCACACACACACCCACCCGCGCGCCCGTGGGTGCTGCAGCGGGGCCTTGCCTGGGTCTGCTGGGGGGGGCGGGGGGGTGGTGGGCGCACCTGGGGCTGTACCCACGGTGCCGTGGGGCAGGGGGTACGGGATGCACCCGGCGAGGGGGCCCACAGCTGTGCCGAGCGGCAGCGTGGGGAGGGGACACGCGCGGTCCCGCGGGTGACCCCGGCGCGGCCCGCACCCACCTCCGCCGCGCCACGGCCGCCCCGGAAGCCCCGCCCCCCATCAGGCCCCGCCCCCCGCTCAGGCCCGTCCCGCCGCCGCCGCTTCCTCCCTCAGCCACCTCAGGAGCTGCGGCGCGAAGTAGGTGATGATGGTGTCGGCCCCTGCGGAGAGACGAGACGCTGGAGCCGGCCCGGGAGGGGGAAACGGGGGGACAGGGGGGCAGGGGCGGGGAGGGGGGAGCAGCCCGCGGGGCCGCCCGCCTCACCTGCGCGCCTGAAGGCCGTCACCGCCTCCCTGACGGCAGCCTCCAGGCTGAAGGCCCCGGCCTGGGCCCCGTGCCACAGCATGGCGAACTCCCCCGAGACGTGGTACACGGCCAGCGGGTGCGTGGGGTGCTGAGGGGAGGGAGGTCAGCCGGGGGGGGGACCCCCCTCCCCGTGTGTGGGGTCCCCTCCTCGCACACCCCAGAGGTGCTCCGGCACCCAGCCCCACACAAGCCTGACAGTCAGCCCCTCCGGTTTGGATCTCCGTCCCAAACACACACCTCTCCTCCCCCTCCAGGGACACCCAGGGCCCTCCTGCCATGCAGAAGGAGCTTACTCGAGCCTTGACGTCCCTCACAAGGTCCAGGTAGGGCATCCCCGGCTTCACCATCAGCATGTCCGCTCCCTCACGCACGTCCCGGTCCTGCGAGGGGAACGCGCGCGTGACCCTGGCAGCTCACAGTAGAATAACATTGTCCAGCAAGTCCGCAGTTGGTTTTCCCCAGAAGTTTGTACCCGGTGGTAGGTTTTCACAGGAGGGATTGCAGAAGGGTCTGGTGAGCCACTCATGGCCCCAGGAGCCAGGGATGGGCTGCGGCAGGCGAGAGCCGATGCTCCCCTCCGCAGACACACACTGCCCGGGGAAAGCTGGTGGCTGCGTGTTCCTGGACCTGACACCCCAAGCCACAGTGCGGTATGGGGTCACCAGCTCCACAGCTCCCAGCGCAGGCCCACGCTGGGGACAGCTCTCTGCAAGCTGGCAGGCCTTATGTTTCTCTTGCTTGTGGAAGGGGAAGACACTTGACCCAGTGTGCCTCCCACCCCCTTTTAACTCCAACACTCCTGATCTTGCTCTCCCCAAGCCCTGCTGCACTGCTGAGTGTTGAAGGCTTGTTGGACAAGCACCGCATGAGGGTTTTCTAGTCCCCACAGCCTAAACCCATGACCCTTGGTGCTGCCCCGGGCAGCCCAGCCCCAGCTCACTCACCACAGCACGCATCGCCAGACCCCTGGCGCCCGGGGGCAGCTGGTAGCATCGCCTGTCTCCGAAGGCGGGTTTGGATAGTGCAGCATCCCTGGTGACAGGCAAAGCAAAGGGCAGGGAATAAGGACCAGCACAGCTCCCTTTATCTCTCATGCAGCTTCAGAAACGTGAGGACAGACTAGGATAAGTGGCTGAGTCATTGGGGCTAGGAAAAGGGGGGCTCTTCTGTCCCACCTCAGCACCCCAGGATCACTCTGGAAAGTCTGACAGGCCCAGCTGTCCCTGGGAGCCATGCTTTAACATCCACTGCCTTCCCCGTGCCCAGAGTCTAAGGTAAAATCGTCAGACATTTTCCTTTTGCTTTTTTCCAAGGCAGATCCTTCAGGGATGCTCCGTCGGGGTCAGACCATTCCTGGGACGAGGTCTAATAGGTGACAGGCTTGTCCTTGAAGCCACCCTTTGCGGCAACACCAGCTTCTGCAAGCCCCACCCTCACTGCTCCCGGCAGCTCCCTCTCTGCCTGCCTTGCCACCAGCACCCAGGATAGGTAGGTGAAGGGGTGGGACAGAAGATCACCCAAGGTGACCTTCCCACCAGCCAGCCTCTCCTGGGCAAGGTACATTTGTCTCCTTTTTGCACTGGGAAGTAAGAGGAGAGCACTCCAAAGCGACCAGTGTGGCCCCAGCTGTGGCCCAGACTCTGGCCAAGGCCCATTCCCAAATAACTATCCAGGGACACACACCCCACATGGAGCAGCCCCAGCTGGAGATACTCCTGCCTGAGGGACAGACCCACCTGAAGGGACCGTAGAAGCACGAAGCAAACTTGGCGCTGTAGCTCATCACCGAAACCTGCAGAGAGTGGAGCTGTGAGTGCCAAAAGCTCGGTGCTGCAGCCCAGCACCAGGGCAGTAGTGATTCCCTCCCATGGCTGTTTATACTCTGCCCCACATCCTTCTTCCCCTGCCAGAGGCCTGGCACCTCGCTGTCCCCGTGTCCAGCCAAGGACATTCCCTTCCTGTGTGCACCAGGACAGGGCAATGCCTGTGCTGTGCTGCAGCCTCCCCATGGGCGTCACTCCCGCCTTTGGCACACGCAGATCCCAAGCTCACCTTGTTGCCCAAGTCATTGGAGATCAGCGCCGCCTTCATGGCCGCGATGCGCCCATCCATCATATCTGAGGGGGCAACGATGTGGCAGCCTGCGGGGAAAGACCAGAGATGCCAAGAAGTCCCTGAGGCTGTGACTGCCTGCTGGAGGAGGCCCATGTGTGCTCTGCCGGGGCCAGCGCCTGGAGGGCAGAGGGAGCCTCCCCCAGCCCAGAGCAAAAGCCCAGTTTGGAGCCAGGCCCAGTTTGCTTTTGGGCCTGCTGAAAGCAAGAGGGGGCAAGTCTGTGAGAGTCAAACTCAGGTACCGCTGCCAGGAGATTCCCCCCACCTGCTTTGGCATAGGCCAGCGCCACTTCTGCCAGGCGCTGGCAGCTGATCTCGTTCTGGATGGTGCCATCTTCACGCAGGATACCTAGGAGACAAACCCCGGGGTTACGTGAGGGACTGGACAACCGGTTGCCTCCATCCCTAGCGTGGGAGTGTGGCTCTTGGGACAAGCTATGGAGGTGCTCAGAGCAACAGTGGGGAACCTGCTAAGGGAGCTGGATAAGGACCAGGAGGCCAATGATCAGGAGACCTCCAGGGACTGGACACAACATGTAGGTGCTTCAGGGATGGGAAGACAGAGATGGGGACATACATGGGTGCTCAGCCAGATTCAGATGACCAGAGTGGGTGCTTTAACCACCCGTGCCTCCCACCCTGCTGTCAAAACCCAGGAGAGGACTCCCAGGCTCAACTGTACCAGTACTGGGGAGCCAAGTCTTGGCGCAGGACCTGGCCAGACCTCACCAGCACATGGAGCTCCTCAGCAGAAAATGGCAAACCCGTGGAGACTCCCAGAGCCAGGAAAATGCCGGAAGAGCAGCCCAGGACCCCAGGCTGTGCACTTACCGCAGTGCCCATGGGAGGTGTAAGGGCACAAGCAGACGTCGCAGGCAATAAGCAGCTCTGGGAAGGTGGAGCGGATCTTCTTGATTGCCTGGATGGCAGGCGTGTCCTCTGCATCAGCAGCAGAACCTCTCTCATCCTGTGAGAAGAGAAATGCCTCAGCCCACAGAGCCAAGGGCTTCCCACCAGATCCTCTGTGGCAACAGTTCTGCCCAGGAAATGTTTTCTGAACCGTGAGACCCTGTAACGCAGGGTGGTGTGACCACTAACGATGGAAAAGGGCAATGGAGTAGTGTCTCTGAGCAGTGAGTGCAGGTCTCAGGGCCACCTGCAAGAGCTCTGGGAGCTCTTTAGGTGTTGCTACAGTCTCCCATCCCTCTCCTGCTCTGCTGAGCAGGATGCAAACATGCTCAGAGACACTGAACTGCTCGTTTGATCAGGAAACCCCCCGGCCCCACGCTGCTCTCCCACACCCCTGTGGCTACCCCAAGCTCCCTGCTACTACCACGCACACTGACCTTGTGGACCTTGCTGGGCACCCCGAAGATAAGCACACACTTCAGACCGTCCTCGACGAGGGGCCGCAGCATCCCCTCCAGCTTGTTGACTCCATACCTGAGAAGAGCAAAGTGAAGGGGGCTGCCAGGCACCCAGACCTGCCCCGTGGGGCGAGCTGGTCTGTGACTTGGATACTGGGCTGTGAGTGATCCGGCATTCACATGGACCCACACCAAGCAGCAGCTGGAGGTGCAGGGGTGGTGTCGCCTGAACGCTGGGAGGAACAATCCGAGACCTTATCTGGGGCTACAGGAGCGTTATCTACTCGGCATTGACATTCTCCGCTCTGAAAGAACAAGCATGCCCTGCCCTTGGATCCTTTATCTTGGCATCCCCGTTGCAGATCCAGCCCACCTCCCCACAGAATCACTCTCCCGGCGCCTCTCTGACCACAACCCTGCTAATGCGGCAGCAGAAGGAGCTGCCCGTCCAGCAAGATCTAATGCAGGACCAGAGCCTGGGACCTTGCACAGGTTTTTCTAGCTGCTCCTGGAAACCCCATTCGCTTTCCAAGTTCCCTGTGTGCCCAGCCCCCACAACGTGTGACTGCTCTGGGACAACGCAAGACCTTGGTACTATTGCTGCCAGTACTGGTACTTTCCCAGCATCCCCAGTATGATTCCTTCCACTGCCTTGGCAGATAAATGCTCCTGCCCTGCCTGATGCTGGGGGACCCCCAAGGCAGGGACCACAGACAGAGGGTTGGAAGCATCACCCCTGGCTCATGCTCATCTCAGGCCATACATGAACCCTGCTTGGGCACGGGACACGGCAGCAACTGGCATGCAGTTCAGCGGGGCTGGATTCTTACCTGGCTTGTCCCGGGAGGCTGGGGATCGGCTCCACTGCATCAGGGCTGTCACTGCACAGGTGGATGGGACAGAGACATGAGGACTTGGTGCGAGAAGGAAGCCCCTACCCCAGGCTTGTCCATGGGGGATCTTTTGGGGAGTCTGAACCTGTCTAAGAGCTCAGGGAGCGCCTAAGCCAGTCAGCCTGAGCTTGGTCCGTCCCTAACCCAGAGAGCCAGGGCTCACTCACGTGACAAAAATGGGGTAGATGAGGTTGGAGGCATCAAAGGTGGTTGCTGTACACTGCCAGGAGCGTAGCACCGGGTGGAAGTAGCCGCTGTGAAGAAGGGAGTCTGCCTGCATCTTGGGCTTTCACCAGGAGGCTGTGGAAGGAGACTGTGAAACACCAAAGGAAACCGGGGGGCTGGTTAGTGGTGGTGTTCTGGAAAGCTGCTGCTATTGGCACATGCGAGGAGGGGGCTGAGATCCAGGCAGCCATGGCAGGACTGTCCCTGTCCCACGCCAGGCCCGTGCGGGGAGCACGAGCTGCAGCCCAGCCAGCTTCAGCCCAACTCTCCCGCGCACCGGGAGGGTGTTGCAGGACCCTGCATCAGCAGCCACAGCACCGCACTTCCCATAAGCAGGGATGACGCTGACTTCTCCCCACAAAACCTCCCAATTCTGTGTGTGACATCACCAGTTTAGAGCCACCAGTGTCCTCCTGCAGCAGAACCACGTTCACACGGTTCAACACTACCACCCTCCTCAGTCTCCTTTTGTTTTAGCTTGCACAGCTGTAACAGCAGTTTTCTAATGACAAGATGGTCATTGCATAATTCATTCTACTTTTGCTTAATGCTGTATAACTGTGTGAAACAACTGCTGTATATAGTCAAAAACTGCTCTACGTAGCACAAAGTATTTATGGCCACAGTGTAAAGGTGCAGTTACAGAAGGGTACGGGCACTGGATGAAAGAGAGGCGCAGGATCATCCTGAAATCACCAGGGCTTTAAACCTCACAGTCGCACAACTCCAGTGGCCACTTACTGATGGATAAAGAAAACTTGAGAATTCAGCAAAATTGATTTCAGGGGTAACAAAGAGCAATTACCAAACACATAAATCAGATGTTGGCTACATTACTGTTGAAACTTCTATAGCAATATTGTCTTCTGTAACAGTTAGATCTCGTAATAATTATGTGATTAGACCATTAAGATTTAAATTTCTTCTAGCACTAAATTCTCACCAACATGTAGTTGGTGAGAGCGTGAAGGAAGGGGCTGGGGGAGGGAGGCTGCCCCATGATTTGGCTGCAGCACAGAAGAGAGCAGCTGTCACGGCCCTGGGAAACGTGACCTGAACAACCACTGTTTGTACAGAGCGGCTTGAAGGACTTCTGCTGGCTGCACACGCAGGGCTGCATCCCCCAAACACCCCGCGCAGCGGAGCTGGGGGTGCCCCGGGAGACAAACAGCAAAGTCCCTGCTGGAGATTTTGTTTTGAGAGCTGAAACCCGAGGGAGGTGGGCGGGAGGAGAGCTTGGAGGAGAGCTGGAGACAGGCTTCTGAAAGAGCAAGGGGATTCCTCCGTTGGTACCCCTGGGCAGGGCAGGGCTTTCCCTGGGAGACAGAGCAGGCATGACGATGGGACCTGTCTCAGGGGAGCAGCCCGGTGGTCCCCAGTCCCGTCCCAGGAGGGATTCCCCAGGCAATAAACCTCGCTGACCCCCCACCTGTGCCCGGCTTTCTCCAGAGAACAGATACAGCTCACAGCATCCCAGGACAATCCAGAGAAGGAAGTTTAACACCGGTACCCACACCACCAGTCAGCAATGGAGCTGTGCAGGAAACGGCTCCGTTCTTCTGGAAAACCTTTAATCTGAGGTGTTCACCTATTTTATACACTCAAGACCCTTCGGATATTCTAATGCTGAGCCAAAGTCTCAGTCTGTATCAGGCCACTGCAGCCCACAGGAACACAGGGGCATTGTGTTCAGTCCAGGGCTTGAACTGAGCCTCTCGTACCCCTAGCAATCACCTCTGCTTGGGGATGGGGGAAAAGGCACCTCTCAATTACTTAAGGGCTTACATGTATGACAGTGCTGCATAAGAAAAATCAGATGGTGCTTGCAGGGGATGCAGACCAGCTGACAGGCATGCTGGCAGTGTCATGGCATCACCTGGCAAGTAATTTTTAGCCCTGGAAATCTGCCACTCCAGTCCTTACTCGAAGGGAAGGGGACAGCCCTCGGGTGAACTGGGGTTGGCACCTGTACAGCCTGGCTCCAGGCAGGGCTCCAGGCAGGCAGCAATCAAGAACAAAGGGCTCAGCAAAAACCCACCCACCTCGAGAATCCAAAAAATGCTTTAAACGGTTAATCCCACGGGAGGAAGGGGAGGAGGGACAGGGTGGGAGCAGAGGCACCTGACTCTGTATAGGACAGATAGAGACCACAGCTCCAGAAACTGCCCTCGCTGGGCCAGGAGGAGATGGGCCCCGGCAGGATGGCAGAGCCGAGATAACGGCCCGACGGGTGGGCCGGGCAGAGCGAGCGCCCGGCTCCTGCGAGGCCAGGGGGGTCGGGGTGCTCTGTCCCAGCCCCCTGCCGAGGGCTGCAGGCTCCCCTTGCCCACGCAGGGCACCCAGTCGGACCAGGGCACCGGGGTCCCACAGCCGCAGGGCTGCCCCGTGCCCCACAGCACCCGACAGCCCGGGGAGGACAGCGGGGGTGCAGAGCCAGGACTGCAAATGTGCGGCGACAAGGGGCCGCTGCGCCACGTACGCTACGCCCCAGAACGGGGCGATTTCCCCCCTGAGATCCCCTTGGGGTTCCCAGCAGAGCACATGCACCTTTCTCCGACATTAAAGGCCCAAATCTGTCTTTCTAAAGCCTTTTGCTTCATAGACACCAGAGTATCAGTACGGAGGAGTTTAAGAACAGCCCCCGCAGCTCCTGAGTCGAGTGGCTTCACCTCTTCTCCTGCCCGCCGGGACTGCTCGAGGACCAGCCCAAGGCTGCAGCACCCAAACCTGCGCCTTCGCCCAGCCGCGGTGACCCGGGTGCCTGGCTGTGTCCGAGCAAAGGCTGCAAAACGAGAGACCCCCCCGCACACGCTGCCTTCCCTTCGCCCGAGCATGACTGAAACAAAACGGGGTGGACGGGCTGAAGCCAGGCGCGCCACACGCCAGCCGTGAGCTGCCAGGGTCTGCACCCGCTGCTGACAGCACCGCCGAGCCGCTGGCCGTTCGCTGCCGAGACACGGGGAAGTTTCTTTCCAGTCTTTTGGGGTGCAGAAACAGATGCGGCCTCATCGAACGGTGCACAACTCTTGACCTAAAGAGCTGGAGACACGCAAGCTCCTGAAATCCCTGGTGGGAGCGGGGATGGAGTTGGAACGCGGAGCTCCCCAGGGAGACAACGGAGCGGCGGGTTATTTAAGTCACTAACAAAGATCAAGATGTTATAGGTTTAATCTCCTAGGTGGAAACGGGCACGCTCGGGGGAGGCCTGTAATTACATCACAGCATGAGCGGGTGCTCAGGGCTGATGCCAGCTTGATGATTTCCCCCCGTTTGCTACGGGAACGACGGGTTACCGAGCAAAAACCGGGCTGCCCTTGCTGCCTGAACCCAAGCGGCGCCTCTTTGCCCGGCCGGGCCCTGCCCCTGGGGTCGTCCCGATTTTCCGGCAGCCCTACAAAAGGCCGGGGTCGGGGACCGGGGAAGCCGGAGCCGGGGCGGTCGCCCCGGCTCCGGCCCCCCGGTCCCCGACCCCGGCCCCCGGCACTCACCGACCGCCGCGTCCCGCTCCCGCCGTGTGACTCCGCTCCGAGCCCTCGTGATTTGCATAACCCCGCCCCTCCCCCCTTTTATTAGCATAGACCCGCCCCTCGGGATGGCGGCGGGAAGTCTCGCGCGGCGGAGCGCGGGGAAGGGCTGGAGCCGGATGCGGCGGGGGGAGGGGCGCAGGGTTTGGGGGCGTTTGGGGGCCTGGAGGAGGGTTGGGGGTGCTGGGGGGACGTGGGGCAAGGCTTTGGGGTGCCATAAGGTCATGCAGCCGGGTTTTGGGGTGCTGCAGAGGGGCCTGGAGCCAGGTTTTGGGGTGCGGGGGCCGGGGCATGCAGCGGGGTTTTGGGGTGCTGCAGGGTAAGCTGGAGCCAGGTTTTGGCATGCTGGGGGGGATTGCTTTGGGGTGCTGGAGCAGGGCTTTGGGGTGCTATAGGACCATGCAGCCAGGTTTTGGGGTGCTAGAGAGGCTGGAGCAAGGCTTTGGGGTGCTGGGGGGTTCCAGAGCAGGGTTTCAGGGTACTGGCAGGGTCCAGGGAAGCTGGAGCCACGCTGCAGGCCTGGCAGCACGCATGCAGGACATGCTGTTTCCACCATCTCATCAGAGCATGGGAGATGCACAGATCAGGTTTATTAGTCTTCAGAAAAATCAGTCAAATAATAAAGCGTTTTTACCAGAAAAGGGGCTTATTCTAGCAGATACTTTCTCATGGTCTGCTGCAGCTCCTGCCCAGTGACCCCCCTGCAGTGCAAGCACCCCGAGCCTGTCTCCACACTCCCCCCAGCCTCGTGCCCTCGCTGGTGGCAGGGCTGAGCAGAAGGCTCCTTCCACCGGGGATACAAACACCAGCACCCAAACCTCAACTGGAAATCTGCCAGTTGAGTCTCTCTGCTTCCCTCACACCTCACACAAAGGCCGGGTTGTGGCAGCCTTCATCCTCCCTTCACCATCAGCTGCTCCAGGAGCAATGTCACAGCGAGTTTGCTTCTGCCTTTGCTGCACGCTCAGATGCGTGCTTATGCAACCGCAACCAGCTTATTTTATTACTGACAGAAATAAGAGACTCCACTTCTGTAAAAAATCTGGCTTTTATTTAGACATTGTTCCCTTCTAGAATATACACCCAGATATGTACTAAACCAGCAAAAAAATAATAATAAAAAAAATGGAAGAGGAAAAAGAGCTAAAAGGAAGGCCGCCTTTGTTATTGTAGATCTTGGGAAGACATCGTCAACTCATTCTTTTCATCTGTTGCTGACTGCCTGCCAGTAGAAAGTAGAGAGCAGAATATCTTTGATTCAGTTCTTTTCAGGAGCTGGGCTTGTGTGTGAAAAGCCATTGTGCCATAAAACCATAAAGGCAGGGTAGCTCTGCATCAATTTTTTGGCAAAAAGGACATACTATTCATCACATGTTATTTCAAAACTGCACATGAGCAAAACTCGTGGGTTTTACTTAAAGGTACCTAAAACTTTCCTCAAGTTTCCTTCACCAGACTTCAGTTACTTTCAAATATTGGGTTTATTAGCCTTCAAGATCAAACAATGAAGCATTTTTCCTCAAAAAAGAGCTTATTCTAACATACTTTCTCAGAGAAAAGAAAGGCATCAAAACTAACAGTTCAAGTATAAAAGAACAAACCTATACGAGTACTAAGAATACAAACAGCTTGTTTCATCAATCCATCTTTCTTGAAGGAGCCATTTTAAAAAACTCAGGTCCGAGGCTGGCCCTCCTTGGTGGGAGTGCCCTGCCCTCCCGGAGCTGGTCACACTGGGAGGCGGCTGCACCTCTGGAATGACTGTTGGAGGCTAAAGAGGGACCTTTGATGTAATTAGTGCAATCCAATTGGGAAATAAAAAAAAAAAATGAGAATCACCACTATTCTACCACATTTAAACTTGCTGCAATCGCCAACCTGTCTGCAGGAACTGCAGCTCTGCAGAGGAGGAAAAGGAGGCGAGACCACTGGTGCCCACCGCTGACCTGCAACAAATGTACCACGCGATACAGCTGCCCTTTTTCACCTCAAATTAGCCATTCATTTTGCTTCAGATTTTTAATAAAATTCCTCGTGGTCTCCCAGGGCTTTAAAGACACTGGTCCTTGTACAGCTGTCCTGTATTGCTGCACATGACTGGTAAGGTTGAAAGACACAGTATCACTGTCACAGTTACAGCAGGAAGAGAAGGCACTGCCAGAATGCAAGAAAATAAAGAAAAAAACCAAGTCACTTGGTTAAAAAGCTTAAATATTCAGGTTCCAAGCCTCCTGACATCATGTATATTCTAAACCCTGAAGGGTTAATGACCTATTGATTCACCTGACTTGGTTTAAGGAAAATATTCAACAGTCTCTCAAGTTCTCCTGGCCAGCTTCTGTACTGAGCATCTGACATTTCTCTTTTCCTCTATTTAAGAGCCAACCCCACATAAAAAGCCCAGTCCCACTACTGTCTGCTCAGAACCTGGGGAGGGTGCCAAGCCCCCTGTGCACAGGGAGAAGCAATCCTTCCACCAGAAAAGCTTGAGCAGAAGTCTTTTATGTACAAGTTAAAGCCACAAAGGGAGAGGCCACAGAGGAACAGTACAAAGCTCTACTGGAAACAAGAGGGGACACAGCAAGGTTGATTTACAGCATTTATATCCCTCTGAACAAAACCCAGCCCCTGCACGTCTCATCGGCAAGCTCAGTTGTCCACTTCTTCCTCATCATTTTGCTCTTCTTCCTCCATCCTTTCATCATCATCATCATTCTCTTCCTCTCGACTCTTATCTTGCTCCTCTGAGTCTGCCTTCTTGTCTTTATCTTTCCTGGCTTCTTTCTTTCCTTTCTGTTCACGCCTGTAAACTAAAAAAGAGAGAACACTGAAAAATTTCAAGCCAGTGTTTCTAGGGCATGGACAGTACAGTAGCTGAAGTCCAATGTCCACTTGCTCTCCAGGCTTACAAGGGGAGCAGTGAACTCATAGCAGCAACTCACCCTATTATTTGAGCTGTGCTGACCAGCTCCATAGGAAATCAGGTTAAGTTTCAGCAGAAAAGTGCTGAAAAAGACGCAGGAGTTCACATTTACAGGCAGCACCTAAGACTTTCCTTAGATAAACATAATAGGGGACTGATAGCAGATGAGACTCTCAATCCTCATCAGTTGTGCAATAATGTTATCCCAGTCCTGTTAAGGTGCACATTATTTATTCCCCAGGCAAACTGCAGTGTAGGATGCTGGGCAAAGAGAAAAGAAACAAGACAGGCAAGTAAGTGTTGCTTGTCCAGTGTTTGAGGAAAACAGGACTTGGTGCTACTTAGACTCCATCGACACAGACTGAAGATGATACCTTCCAGTGATTCTTTCAAAGGGGCTACAAATCGCTGAAACTCCATTTCCTCCATGGCAGAGAGAACATCGCCAGCATTCAGTGTTTTCCTCTTCCCCTTCATGGCAAAGTTATTTGCACTAGTCAAAAACAAGAAGGAAAATAGTTAATTGGTAACTGTCACGAATTTAGTCTTACTGAAGTCACAAGCAACTTGAAAAAACAAAGCCATCTCCTAAACATTTGGGTTTTTTTTAATCACTTACTAATAGTTTAAGATACCTTGTTTACATTGGCTGGTTGTGCTTTCATCTAGTTGCATTGCTCTCCCACATTAGTTTTCTGCTTGCATGGACCTTTACTACAACCAGGTGAAGGAGAAAGCCTGAACTTTGGCTGTGAGGTGACAATTCCACAAAGCTGTGTGAGTACTTAACACCAGAGAAGTGACTGCCTGCACAGCATATTCTGAGCCACCCCAGAGATGCTACTGTGCCCTCTGTGACCAGCTCTGAGGCTTGGCTTGGCTCGTGCTTGCCCAAACGCAGCTCTGTGATGGCCTGGGAAGTGAGCAAAGCACTCTTGCCTCTGCCAGGAAAAGCCATGCAGCCATACTCTAAGGCTAATGGCAATTTGGGACCCTTCTTGTGGTCCCAAAGTGGGGTTGGGACATCTCTGTACAGAGCCAAGCTGCCTTCCCCACGGGTTCTTAAGGGCAGTCCAAACCCAACTAAAGATTCTTTTATTTAAACAGACAATACCGAAACGCATACTTCAGGACAGTCAGCCGAGAGGTGAATTAAGTCAACTGCGCTGGTTTTCTGATGTGACAAATTCTTACCATGATGTTGCATAAAGGACAAACACACTTGCCGCTCGAGATATTGCGCTCCGAGCTTCTTTGGAAATGTTTACTCCATCGGGAAGCTGCAAAGTAAATTCAACATTTATCAGCAGCTGCTATAAATGACTTAAACTTGCAAAATTAATGTGTCGGTTTTGTTATGGCATTCACAGGGCTCAGCACAACTGGAAGCTAAACATTGATCTCAGACGGTATCACAGAAGGTTTGACGCCAGCTGAAAGCCAACTGCAATCTGAGTGAGCTCTCTCAAACGCAATAAGCTACACATATGTAAAGTAACTTCTGAGCCAGCGGTGGGTCTGGCCACCATCTCGGGGGCAATTCACCCGATGACTGCCACGTTCCTGACACAGACCCGTCTCCCTGCCATACCCAGATCCCTTCAGCAACGCCTCGAGGCTCAAGACCAAGCCTATCAGCCAATTAACGACCGGGAATTACTCTGGATGTTTAGACAGACGAGGAATCGCTTCTGCTCTTCGTTCGGGGACCCGGTTCGGTCAGGCCCCCTGCGAGAGCTCCCCTGCTTTTGAACTTCTGAACGCTCCGTGGAGCATCACCGCGGGCTTTCGCAGCCCGGCCCGCCCCTCCCGGCGCCGAGGGCCGCACCGGGAGCACGGCCCCTCGCAGGAGGCCGCGGGGCAGCCGGCACCGCCGCCCCCCGGGGCCTGGGCGCGTTTTGGGCGGAAAACGGCGGAACAGCGGAGCCTCTGCGGGGGCTGACCGAGGAGAGCAGCCCCCACCCCACCCCCTCGCTCGCAGGGGCCGCTGGCGGCGCCTCACGGGCCCCGGCACCCACCGCCTCCTTGATGATGCGGGTGATGACGGCGTTAGGCAGGTTCAGATCCTCCGGTCTCTCCGCCATCCTGCGGGACAAGCGGAGCGGGGGCGGGGCGGCGCGGGGGAGCGGGGCCCGGCCCGGCCGTTCCTCGGCCCGTCCCGGCGTGCAGCGCGGCCCGCCCCGCCCCGCGGCCCGCTGAGGGGGGGCGGCGGGGACGGGCTGTGGGAGCTGGGGGGGGGGGGGGGGGCGGTGGGGGGCACCGGGAGCCGGGGGGGGTGCGGGGCTGGGAGCGGCAGCGGGGCCTGGCGGGAGCTGAGGGGGCCCCGAGGCGGCGGGTGCCCGTGGGGGCCGCGGCTTCGTCCCCTGCGGGTGGTTCCCGGCCTCTCGCGGCGGGGCGGGCTGAGGGCGCGCAGCCTGGGCGCCTGCCCTCCGCCGGGACCCCGCTGCCCCCCGGCCCCAGCCGCCGCTCCTTCCAGGAGGCTTTATCCCTGTTGATAACCTGGCAAGGTAATTAAAGCGAGAAAGCTCCGAGTGCAAGAAGGGAGGAAATTCATTTCGTACGGTATTGGGGTGATACTTGAAATCCCCGATCAACAATGCAGTTTTTTGCCACAGGAAATGTGTATTTTCCAGTAGCAAGGGCAGTGTTACTGTAATGGGGATAGTTTACATACGTGTGTGAGACAAGCTTATAGGTGAAGGTAATTGTTTGTATCAGACGTAAGAGTGTGCTGCAGATAGTATACAGCATTTTGAGTACACAAAGGTCAGACCTGAAGAAAGGCTTGTGTGCGTGAGAGCTGGATGACTTTTATAGTGACTGGATTAATAAAAACCATCATTGCGTGTATGAATCGTGTCTCTGGAGTCTCATTTTTAGCTTCTATTAATGTATTCTGTTAGCTCTGTGGCCGCTTCACGGCTCTCGGAGGTGAGGGGCTGCAGCGGGTGTTGTGTTTCTTCGCAGTGAAGGCAGCGCCTGACTGTAACCGGGCCGAGGGTGCTGATGTCGGGTGGGGGTGTCAGAGAGCCCTCACGAGCTCGATCTGCTTTCTGTTTTGCCAGAGGGCAAGATTGTTTTGTACACGACTTGGAGAACAAAGCGAGGCAGTGTTGAGTTACTGTCTGGTGAAAGGGGGAGGATGGAGCAGAAACAGGGATGATGCTGGCTGGGGGCCGGGGGTACAGCCCGAAGCTCCCCGGCTCACCGGCAGAGACTGGGCCCTTACTGTCAAGTTGTGTGTATCTTCCTGATACGACGAGCTCTATTCTTTCCTGCATACTTTGGTCACTAGTGTGTGCATGTATTTGGTTTTAATTACAATATCTAGAGGGTTGAAGTACATCTGTTAAAGTATTTGTGTTTTCATGAGGTACAGAAGGATAACACTGTCTCATGATTTTTGCTTGTCCGCTCAGACTGGCTTAGACAAGCCACTGCTCATGTGTTGTGTATTTATACATGTGCCACAAACAGCAATTTTTTTTTGAATCATTGTGAAATGTGACTTGCAATAGTAAGCTTGACTACTGCAAGCCACATTTAACATGTTTCATATGTGACAGCTAAATGAGACTAGAAAGCTGTTTTAATATAAAAGCTCTGGAGCTACAGGATATGAGGCCAGGTTATCAGTTTACCATGACCTAGGCTGTACCCATACCCAAGGACAACCCGATTCCTCCATAATTTTGTTCCGCTAACTTCATTTCACACTATATACATCCTCAGTGTCTTGGGTTTTCTTTCCGCTAAGTTAATTTGCGCAAATGTTCTGTTTTGCAGAGTATTTAAACAGATGATACCATCTTCCTGCTCTTATTGCTGGAGTGGCTGCAAAGATGATGACTGCATATGTGAGCAGGTGGGATGAAACTACTTGTGATAAGATTACTTGTCGACATTCACAGTGCTGGGATATACTAAACACAACTGAGGAGGGACATCTTGGATCTGTTTAGGACACTGATTGAATTTTTAGAGCCTTTTTGGAAAGGGAAGAGAAAGTTATGGTTAAATTCTCACTTTCACTAAAGAAAGGAAAAGAGCATTCTTACTCTTGAGATAACTTGGAATCCTAGTGAAGCTGAGGCAGGCTTTGGTTTTCACATGAGGTAGCTAGTTGAACACTGTTCACGGGTACTTAGGTTTTTAAAGCTGGAGGTGATCAATAGGTTGCCCAGTCTGACCTGCAGAATGGGTGACTTTACCAGAATTCATCTCTGTAGTCTGTTCAAATAAAGCTTCTCTTCTGTAAGGTAACTCAACTTGCATGGCTGGTATCAAGAAGAGAGAACGTGTTACTTTCCTTGGCTGGAAAATATTTCCTGTGGCAGGAAATGGTTTGTTAAATCTAGGTGCTCAATTTCCAACATGATTTCTTCTGCATGTACATATGTGCACAAAACCTCACTCATTAATGGTTTTATTCTAGCTGTGGACTTCAGCAACTTGCTTATAAGGTAAGTCCTTATAAGTGAGGTTTGTGTATCAGCTGCTTGGAGCTTGCTTTATATACTCATTGATCACTTCTTTCTAGTGTGTGCCTGTAGGTGTGATCTCCTGTTTAACCAAGTGATTCATCAATATTAGACAAATCTTGCAGTCCTGTCCTTAAAAGGTTTTCTGCTGTCTGTCAACAAGAACTGGATCACTAAGGACAGATAATTAAGAGGAAAGAATGGCTATACTTTCCTTACTAGAATTTCTCAAGGTACAGGGCAGTCTGACCATGTGCCCTCCACTCCTGTATCTGGAGACAGCCCTTTAATAATGGTTGTGAGCAGCAAAGTAGCCATTGTGGCTGCGGTGAGATGCATTTTTGGCACTTAGGCCCAGGGAACGTGGTCTGCATATAGGAAAAATAGCAGTTGCTGTAAGGTAAATTCTTGTGGTTTGCTTAGCTAGAAATTCTGTCTGTTGTTAAATGGAGCCATTGTGGCAGTATACTCTATATAGTATGTAATTATCAGGTCCTTGGTGTTCATCTTGCATTTGCTTTACTTCTCTTAGATGAACTTCCAACACTGAAAATAGTAAACATCTCTCCCAGCCATTCTTCAAGGAGGTAGATAGATGTTCTGGGTGTCACAGGACTCCTTCCACCGCTGCTGCACCTTCTCTTCTACATTCTCTGATTCAAGAAAGCTCAGAAGAAGATGCTGGTGTCAGGAGAACTGCACTGAAGGCCTATCTGTGAGTTTTAAGCCTGCAGTGAGGGTGGGCACTCCGATGATAGCCTTCTTGTTTTTCTCAGAATTTCACAAAAATGTTACATTTATGGTCCAGTTGCAGTAGACACAGAGCTTACCAAGTAGTATTTGTACTGCGCAGAATGCACTGTTAGTACAGATAGGTTTCAGTCTCACTTAACTTGACTTCTGTGAAAATGATACTTCAGTATCACCATGGCCAAAAAAAATAATAATAGAAGGTACAGATCATTCCTGCATAGAGCAGTCATTGTGGAACACCTATATTGTTTCCATCATTCTTGAAGCCGCATTATGATAGGTGTGAGGCAAGTTCTGTCATAAAGAGGCTGTTACTGTAATAGATAAACCTCCTCCTCTTCAAAAAATGGGGGAGGAGGCATGCGGGAAGGTGGTCCACATGCAAGTTGATGATCTGATCTGCAAAACCTTCACTCTGGGCACCGTAAACAATCCTGTTGGGTCTGCTGGGAATGCTTGGGTTACAAAATTAAAGGTAGGTATAAGGCTCTGAGGTCTGTTCCTAACCCCTGCAGGCCTGTGAGTCACTTCACACTTCTTCCTCCTCACTAGATTCACTCTAAGCTGCTATTGAGAGTTGTCACCGAAGGTGAGTCAGAGGGGACAGTGAAGTGCTCAAGGCCAGAGTTTAGCATGTGGCCTGTTAGCTATTGGTGTTTGTCACAAAACAGCAAGAGGCCAAATGTTGACAAAGCTGAAGGCAGGAACACAGCTACTCGGCTTGAACTGGAGTGGCATCAGTGGTGTGGGATGTTGTTATGGGGATCTGCATTTACTAGGTTAAATTTGCCTGGGACACTGTCCATGGCTGATCTGCTCTGCCTTTTTTTTTTTTTTTTGGTTATAGAAAAATAATTAATTTTAAACAATTAACAGTATCCCTTTTAAAAGGAAGTAAGCTTTTACTTTCTCATTATATTTTCTAAATTTTCAAGTGTATCTGTCCTCAAACTTAGCTCTAATGTCTGGAATCATTCCATCTTTCCCTAAAAACAAAATAGGCACTGCAATGAGGAGCCCAGTTCTCAGTGGAGTGTGCAACCATGTAGATGTCCCTTGCACACTTACCTTCTGTGAGAAACAAGCCCATGTATATATATATATAAAAAAAAAAGGTTTTATTGGGAACAAAGTCAGTGGAGCAAAAAATACAGCGCTGGGCGCAATGGCGTGTGCTCTGGAGCCAAAGGGGCTCCCTTTTATTGTATAAAAGGTTACATATTCATCTACCCTAATACATGTGCATCACTACTCCAAGGATAGGGAGGGAATATTACAATTAGTTCCAATAAATCATTAACATATCCCCCCACCCCAAATTCCTCCCATCGTGCTTGCACAGTGCTCCCTGGTGGTGGTGGGCAGGGGTCTGCAGATGAAGGCTCGTAGTCTTCTTCACTGTGTTCGCTAGCTGACCCTTACTTCTGCGCCAACTCAGCCCTGTGGTCACGTACACCTTGTCCTTCAGGTCTGGGCCAATTTGCAGCTCCTTTGTCTTTCTGGCTCAGTGGTTCAGTTCCTCTCTTATCTCAAGGACAAGGGATACCAGAGATGGCCCATTCTGTTCTTTCTCATTCCATTGCAAAGGAGTTACCACCCTTTGATATGGACCGTCTGGTGAGCATCCCAAGAAAGGGGCGGGAGGCGGGGGGGGGGGGGGGGGGGGGGGGGGGGGGGGTGGTGGGGGGGGTGGGGGGGTGGGGGGGTGGGGGGGGTGGGGGGGGGGGGCTGGGCTGTCGGGTTAGTGTTTCCTCAGATCAATTCCCCCCATTTCCCACTAGTAAATTCTTTTACTTTTCTTAAAATTTGGATTGTTGTACTAATAATAGCTTTAGCCTAACTCAATAAAAGTAATTGTTTAATTACTTTTAGCGAAAGCAAAATTCTGTTATTTATCACATCTTCCTACCTCAGGTCTTCTCAGGTTAGATCATCTCTGACTGAGGCCTTCAAATACAGCAGTTTCATCTTCAAAATATCTTCCTGGGATATTTTTTTACCATAAACTAATTCAGCAGCTTTGACTGCCAAAAAATTGCCAGCCTAAGATTCTACTGATTGAGAGCTGTTCCTATCTGACCTAAGAAGGACAGTTGGAGAAATTATGTGTACCAGTTAAGGAGCTATTTTCAGCTGCATGTACTGACTATTACATTAATGCTAACTTTGTTAATTCATTTTGGAAAGTGCTTTGAAAAGGAAACCTGTCAGGTAACCTCTGATTCACCTTTCATACTGTTAGTTTGAATTTGTTTCACCATGAATCTTGCTTCTGTTTGTATTGTGGTTCAGAAAGACCTATTTTTCCAGGCCTGAACTCTGCAGCAGGGTCAGACATTATCTCACCTGGACAGATGAACCTCATGCTCTTTAATAACACTGTAAAAGTGAGTGCTTTCAGTTTGGAGGGAGGGGAACGCCTTTGACTAAAGAAAATATAATCACTGTGAAACAATATATGCAATAATCAGGGTATGCTCTGCTAATCGATTCAGAATGCAAATTAATTCACATGGGTGGCTTAAAGTAGCCACATTAAAGCTGAACTAATGGTGTGCCACTACCTAAATGGGATCCAACTCCTGTGGCTGCAAAATGTACAGTAAAGTCAAGTTGACCCTATTGTAGTGGAAAGTCCTTGAATTGAAAATTGTTAGGGGCTGGGCAACTATTTGGGAAAATGTCTCATGTGCCTGCTCTATTCTTGTGTTCAACCCTAGGCATCACCTTCTGACTGCTGTCAGAAACTGGATAACAGACCTTCGTCTGACCCAGTATGTCTGCTTTTATTTTCTTGAATACTCTTGAATTCTGTTAAGAAAAAGTTCTTCACTGAGAGGGTGGTCAGCCACTGGAAAAGGCTCCCTGGGGAAGTGGTCATGGCAGCAGGCCTGTCAGAGTTCAAGGAGCATCTGGGTGATGCTCTTAGTCATACGATTTAGTTTTAGGTAGTCCTGTGAGGAGCAGGGAGTTGGACTCCGTGATCCTTATGGGTCCCTTCCAACTTGAGAGATTCTATGATTCTATGTGCCCACTCCCATGCTTGGGCAAAAGGGGAGAGTCAGGATCATACAGTAATGGGGAGAGACAGAAGACACCTGCCCTTTCAGCAGCAGCCTTCAACTAAATTAGCTTAATCTGAACACAGAAGTGTAGGAGAAACTTGGTACGTTTTATTTTACTTTGTGTTTGTGCAGACTAGAAGTGGGGCTTCGCCAGGTGACCAAGGAGATCTCTACCAACAAAAAGGGCATTTCTGACATTTGATCTCTGTCTTCCCCTAGCATATGCCCTGGCTGAATCCATTTGCTATGCCAATGCTAGAAATAGTTAATTTTCTGTGAAATTAGTGAGCTGAACTGGCTCACTGAGAGGTTGAATAGTGACAGACCCTGGGGGAAGCTCTGGAAAGCAGCTCCCAGGTACATGGTGTCAGCTAGCTGAGAGAGCAGCTCAACTGTTTCATGCAGCTTCAGAGTGCACACAGTTCAGCTAAGGTGACAGGCAATAACTTTTTAAGCTGTTTTAACTTAATTGCTGTGATCCATGTGACTGTACAAAGGCCAAAAGCGTAATTCCCAAGAGATCTTTTGTATATTGAAACCTGTCTCTTTTATGAGAAGTGCCACTAAAAAGTTTTGAAGACCCGGCTTGATTATTATATTATTTTTATTACATTAAAAGAAACCAGCAGTGGATTAATACGTAACATTTATCAAAATCCAGTAATTCTCAGCAGCACTGCAGGCTCAGAAAAGCACACCTCTTTCTTTGTCTAATTGTACCCTATCTGTATGATAGCTCTGAGTGTTTCATTTTCCTGAGAAAGCTGCTTCTAAGCAGGGTTGCTGTTCAGACAGTGGAAATCTGGTTGCTCAGTTGGTCCCAAATAAATATCAAAACCATCAAAAGCCTGAACTGAAGCAGTGTCAGAGTGAGTAACACCTACAAAGGTTAGCGGCTGCTCCAGCAGCAGAGTGCTGGATCTCAGCCGGGGCTGAGAGCAGAGACTCAGCATTGCCGGGACCTCACCACTTGCTAGTGAAGTTTTTGCTGTAATTCCACGGTATTTATTTTTTTGCAGATGTTTCTGCTTGATCTAGGTTGTGTTCTTGATGGGATGTTATGGGCCCTAGGGTTGCTGCAGAAGGAGAACTGGGTGTTCAGATATCTTCTAAGACACCTGGAATGTCTCATGGAGCTGCTCTTTGCTAGCGTAATCAGAGTGCATGGGGAAGAATGGTGCTGTGAGTTTATGTAGTGCTGTAATTAGCTGTGCCTTTATTTAGGTTAAAGCCTGTGAGACAGGTATGTGTTAAACTCCTTGCCTGTGAAAGTCCCACTGCCTTAATGAAATGCAAAGCCAAGGACAAAGATTATGAGGTGTTTGTGTAACGTTCCTAAATTATGTGTGTGTGCCCAGCCTACTGTTATTCTGCAGGCTAGAAATGGCAAAAGGAAAAAGGGGGAAAAAAAAGGAAAAAAAAAATAGTTTATTGTGACCCATTGGTGCTATTGGGTCAGTATCTCCTCTCAGCCTGAGAGTAAATTAGACTCTGCTGTATCCTGAGGATAACCCATAGGTTGCTCTGATGCCAGTATTCTCTATAGCTGCTGTTTTCTCACTATAGAGTGGCAGTGGGTGGCTCTGCCAGCCTCTGTAGGAGATGTTTGTACAGGATGTTTCTGGAGTGATCAGGAAGCATTGCTGTGCTTCAAAGGGATCCCTTCTGAATTAACCGAGGACATCTCCCTTACCAGCTGCAGGGCAGGCGAGGGAAGCAGCCAGGCAATTTCTGGACCCTCAGAGCGTTCAAGACAGGTGAAAATCTTTGAGAACTGAAAATAAAAAAAGAGCTTCTCACTCTCCCACCTGTTTTTCTGCTGTGTACTGTCTTATGGAGAGAAGCTGATTTATGGAGTAGCTCTAATACAAACCACAGCCTAGTCGTAGCTGCAGTA